ATTTCACTTTTAAAACCCTTGAAGTACGGGAGAAAATTCATTTGCATATTATTCAGCAGAGTGGATGGCATGGAATCTATGTGGTATTCTAGTATTTACCGTATCCAGTGGTCGTGTACACATTCATGGAGAAAAAGAACGCGCTTCCAAATGTCCACTTATAGTTATTGTCTGGATCCTCTGACTTGTAGAAAGTGCTACCTTTGTAAGCTGACTCTTGTTGGAGCAAAGTGACATAAGCTCGCTGAAAACACTACTCTGATTGGATTTTAAATCTCAGTTGTGCTTGTATTCCAGTAGAACTGACCTTGATATAATCTTCCATCATTGTTATATTCACAGTCTCATCCGGATCATTTACCTTATTCGTCATTTCAGCGGCAATTCCAAGGATCGTTTTGTCCAATGCGTCTTTTCGAATCACCACAGTCTAAAAGGCGCTCAGCAATAATTGAAAAGTTATACACATAACAAGTATGCGGTTTTCATCAAACAATAAACAAACAAATGCAGCAAATCGTCGGCTACGCTTTCGTGCACTATTTCATGGCATGATATTGAAACCATGCCTTAGATTTACAAGTGACCAATTTGTATTTCTACTTACGTTTCTCTCGTAGTTTGATTCAATGAGATAGAACATCAAGGCGCCTAGAAGCGTATAGACAAGCACCAGAAGTAGCATACAGATATGTCGGAAACCGATCTTTTTGTGATTAGCGGCAACCCAGTAGAAGGACTTTGCGAAATCTGAAAAAGCATGGCGCTTCTTGCCCATAATTGACTATTCCTACATGATATAAAGTCGAGGATTCAGATTTTAATAATTGAGGTGTCAAATATCTAATGAACAAATTGCTATGAGAAGAACATACTTTTCCTTTCTCTAATATTCGGTCCTGGAATGACTATTCCCGATTGCGTACTTCTTCGTGACGCTAAGGATACCGGATGACGCCTCTCCCGTATTCGACGCACCGTATCCATATTTGAGCGACTTTGGAGACCTTAAGCAATTGACAAAATCACTAATTGATTGTTTTGACTTAAACAGTTGATAGGAAATAAATTACTATTGATTGTAGCCTCATTTCTCTGATAGTAACGTTCGATAACATCTGCTTCATTAGTGCTTTCATTGGGTATAGTCCGTTCCAACTGCAAATCGAAGGATTGACGTTTTTCCAAAATTGGTCGAATTTTTGATAAATGAG